TCTCCGGTGGGGCTGGGGGGGGGTGAGGGGGGTGGGGGGAGGGAGAAGGGGGGGGAGGGAGAGAGAGAGAGAGAGAGAGAGAGAGAGTGAGTTTCATTTACAGTTGTGATTTTATTTTTTTTTTACATGGTGGCTCATACTGCTAATTAAACCCGACCCCAGAGAGACTTCTGTGTGGACGGTTTATGACCCCAAAGTGACCAGCCTGGGCAGAAGAAGAGCACAGACGTCACACAGAGCCAGAACGTTTACAAAAGTAAAAATGGACACCGCCATTTATGGACAGATTTTAAAGCTTATTCAGCACTATCACCACAAGATCATAACACCATACAAAGAAACAACTAATAGTGACTGCAGCTTCAGTAGAAAAGTCTGTTTGGATGTGTAGTCGTAGTCAAGAGTGGTGGGATTGTGATGTGATGCTTTTCAGTGGCTCATACTTTTTTCATCATTTCATATCTGGACGTTATTGTTAATGTCTGGATTTGCCGCATCTGACTTTGTATGGGCCAGAATTATGATACGTTTCACATAAGTGACATAAGCCAGATAATGACCATTCAGACTGCAGACGCTTTGAAAACAATCAACATATCAGAATTCGTACCACATATCGTCACCTTCCTAAAATAATGGCCAAAGTCATTTTTTGCCTAAAGTGATTTTGGCAAAATAATCAACTCTAAAACATCCAAAAGATATTTTAGGAAAAACAAAAAAAAAAGATCAATTTTGGCTAAAGATGAGTTGGGTCATTATTTTAGGCAGGTGACGATAAGGAAGTGGCACGAGTCAAATATTTTTGTAGGGCAGAAAAGTTCATTCAGAATACAATGAACAGTCTGGATATGGGTCAGAAACAGGAAAAAAAAAAAAAAAAAAAGCTGGTTTGGGTCGCTTCTGCCTGCTATGGGAACGTAGCCATGAGATTCTTTCAGCTCCGGCTTGGACCCTTCATGGCTCATGGGGAGAGATGTACCAGACTATTTTTCCTTCTTTAAATCCACAAAAATCTGATTGTGTCTCCATTAGTGAAATGCGTCAACACCAGAACCAGGCTCTCATTCTGGCTTTAACCAGCAGCTCTTTGATGCACTTTTCTTTAAAGCCACGTCCAAAATCACTGCTTTGATGCCTAAACGGGATAATCTTATAATTTCATCGTGTTTATGTCCAAGATTATGCTGCACATTCTCGCTTAACTTTTATAGTTTGTAGCATAAAGAAAAAACTATAAGGAAAGAAAAGAAAAGCCTGTTGAGTAAAAGTGTAGTCATGGAGAGAATTCAAAACTGAGAAGAAAAAACTTGGAGAAAATAATAATAATACTCAAACGTCACCTAAATGCTTCTTTTCTGTCTGATCATTTTACAAACTGCAGTGAGCCACACAGTCATTGGCTCCACTAAAAAGATTTCATTGATTTCATCTTTAACATTCGTTTCTGGCAGAGATGAGAAAGGAGCATTTTACTGCAGGAGCTCAGAGCATTTATTCATCTGAGAGTGAAAACTTTAAATGTTGCCAAATATGCATCTAGATGAAAGTATGTGCACCCTGGTAGTACTGGAAGAAGGTTGGTTTAGCATCTTGTGAACCATTTCTGAGTTGCTTGTGAGATAATTATCTCATCATTTTCCAACCTAAAGGCCCAACAGTCTAAATTTGCACTACGGTGGCCCTGATGTACAAACCACTTCAACAAACCTCTAGACAACCAAATAAAGAACATAACAACCAAGTACAATTACAAATTAAGAACATATCTTAACAAAATGGAAGAGGTCGACATCACTTTTGCCTTTAGAAGCAGAAGTTATTCTGGCATCAGCTCTCTCTTAGGCAGGCGGAAAAAGAATGAAGCTGAGCTTTTGTAGGACTTTCTGACTCAAAACATTCTTGGATAGCGGTTGACACATTTGCATCACCAGTAACATTCATGTTTTCCACAAACGATTAAAGCCAGAATGAATTCTGGTTGTAAAGTCTAAAGCGGTGTCGTCCAATCAGTAAAGTCCCAGGTTTCCCAGTGGGAACTACCTCTTCTGTTTCGTTAACATTGTTGTGTTTTCTTAATTAGGAGTTGTTCTTGGTTTTTTTTTTTTTTGTTTATTTTATTTAGTTTGTCATTTTTTAAATTATAATTGTGTTAAATGGTTTTTGGTTTGTTTTTTTTTTTTGTTTTTTTGGGAGTTGTGCTTAGTTAATGTTGATGTGTTTTTGAACTTCAGGGCCACCGTACTGCTCTGCTCTCTGGATGCTGTATCTAACCAAAGCCCAGTGTTTTTATGATCCTGGTGGCTTTTAAAAGAATCCACCTGCTTCGGTGTGTGATGGTGACTCTAGCAGGGCAGCAGCTGTTTTTATCCACTATGACTCATGAAGATTTCTGAAGAGTGGCTGAGAGAAGCCGCCGATTATTAAAACATTTGGCCAAACCTGGCGATAAAACCTTCACCATCCTCCTCCTCCTCACACGCAGCTGAAGCAACTCTTTGAGTACCTGTACTCCTGGTAGATTGGGAGCGGAGAGGGGGTTTCCTGTCGTTGTGGGGCTCCAGGATGTCCCGATACTTTGACACCATGAGGACTGAGATGAAGTAGACCACGGCCAGCGCCAGAAACTGAGCCTGCTTACTGTCCTCCTGGAACAAAACAAAACACACTAAACGGTCTGCTGTGGAGGACGCACTGAGGCCGACGCGCGTCTTCGCTGTCCGACTCACGATGTCTCTGAACACGACGGCCCTGAGCCGGTTGATGTCCATGTCCTGGAGGAGCCGGTCCAGGTCTCTGATGGTGGACATTCCCCCCGTCACCGCGTCAACGGGACTCTGTGTGAATGAGAGCGAGTCTGTTATCACACATCTGATTATTTGAACTGAGCAAAAGATGCTACAGGCATCAGAGGGTCTACTGCAGGGGTGTCCAAAGTGTGGCCCGGGGGCGGGGGGGAGAGAGAGAGCATAAGGGGCGTTAGTTTCATAGTAAGTAGGAATACATCTATTCAGCGACTTTTACTCAAAGCAGACTTTGGTTACTGCCAAATCTGCTTTCCAATTGATTTATTAAACATGATTAAATGCATCAAATGTGATCCAAAAGTGACCTAAACTCTGTTCTTGTAGCTGAGACACGTTTGTTTTATCCCCCATAAAATTTTGTAAATTGGATGCCTGTCTATAAATAATGCTAGCATGAAAAAATTCATTTACAATGATTTACCCATATCATTCTCACAAAAACTCTAGCTATTTTGTTTTGGCCTATGTGACAAAAAGTTTGGAACACACACACACACAACCACATGCATACACACACAAACACAACAGAACATCTTTCCCACAAAGCCACTGCATTATATATGAGCTCCAACACCCAGTTCAGGGAAAAGCAACATGGCTTTCCTGGAAGTCACCGGATCAAATCAAAGGGCCAATGACACAGGGGCCTGGTCTAGAGTAGCAAGCAGCAGGGCGTCCTGTAATACAATAAAACATGAGCTGATGCAACAAGACCTGATGGCTGCTGAGGAGGCCGAAGGACGAGCCTGCTGGGGTCTAATGGCAAGGACGGCAACGGGACAGGAGTTCATTTATTTATCTGCTTGAAATGGAATATTGCAGCTTTTTATTTGGTGTTGAGAATCAGAGAAGAACCAGATCCAACTCCACCAGGTCGCAACAACCACAATGACGATCAGCACGGAAGAGGAGCTAAAAGTGAGTTAGCTTCAGTTTCATGGTGACTGGTCACTTCTGCTGCTTACTTTGATTGTGCACCACAACCAGCACCACCACAACAACCACCACCACAACAACCACCACCACAACCAGCACCACAACCAGCACCACCACCACAACCAGCACCACCACAACAACCACCACCACAACCAGCACCACCACAACAGGCCGCCTGGTAGAGTTTAGATTTATGGCCTGAGCCCAATCCAAACCAAAATTGGGGCCGGGTCAGGTCTCTGTGGAGCCTGCCATAACGCACATACAAATTCAAACGACAGTTGTGTTAATAGTCAAACTAGAGCAGTAGACGGTTCAAACATCTCAGGTGATTTGGACCCGACTCATCCTGTGGAAACAACAAGCGACAAGACGGAGCTGGAAGACGGTAAACAAAAACTAAAATCTGGAGAAGTTGCTTACTTAAATGACAGTATAAAAACTAAAGTAAAATAGTGCGTCAGGTTTTCTTAAGGGCCTGTAATTAAATTATTTGGGTCTGACCCGGGTTCGGGTCGGGTTGGATGTTTTAGGTTTGATCTAAACTCTAAGCAACCGGCAGCATCTTGGGGCGTTGCACCCTGAAATTAAGCATCTCTTAACCCTTCATCAATTCTTGTGTTCAAAATGTTTTGTTCTTCAAACATCTTCAGTCAATCAAATGCAACAGCAACATTTGAAGTCAAAAACACCCAAATTTTCAAAACTTCCACTGTTTTCTTCACTGGAGCTCAAACTCATCAGCTGAAGGAAAACCAACGTCCCTGAATAACCGCAGTCCAAATTAGATTTGGAATAAAAATGATTTCAAACTGAAATTGAGAAATAAGATTCTTTTAAGATCAGAGTATTTTTTTATTTTTTTTTGATCGTCCCATTAATTTTTACCTGCAGACGTGGGGCAAAGTCTGATCTAAACATAAACCACTGATGACCACTCACACAAACAAGACCAGACTGAAATACTAGAACAATGGACATGAGGGAAAGAACTGAGTAAAGTCAGTATCAGCAGAAGCAAATATGGTGATCATCTATCTGTGCCTTTCTCATGAACGACATCCTCTGGAACAAAGTGAGTCGACTTGCCTGAGCAGACGCAGACTTGGCCGTTCCCACTGCGGTGCTGGGCATGACGGTGTAGCTTCTGGTCGGACATTCTGCTCCTTTGAACTGGGCTTGTTGGCACTCCAGACAGTTTCTCACTGCTATAGCACATACTGGGACAGGAGGGGAGGACAGATGGTTCATATTATCATGTAGTGAATAAAATGACAGAAGACAAAGTAGAGATGTGAATCTTTCAGTGTCTGGCAATTCGATTCTGATTTTTAGGGTCATGATTTGATTCAGGAACAATTTTCGATTCGCCAACCAATTTTTCTATTCAAATGGTGTTTAAATTATATGACTGAAAAGAAGAAAATACATGTAAACAAATAGAACATCAATTTAAAACAATACTATGAGGTTCCACACTGAAGCGTTCCCAAAACTTTTCAATGCCATGCCTCCCACACAGCATTAGCTTCTGGTCAGGGACAACAAACTCTCAGACAACTACACAAAATATCCAAAGAAACATCGACTTTTATTTCCCCACTTTTGAATAACCTTTTCATTGGTTTAGCAAAAGGACGATTCCTTCAGGCATTTTCCTGGCAGAAACTTGTCCAATTCATATTTGCTACACCAGCTGTAGGAGCAGAGAAGCCTGATGAATCTGACTGGCAGCGAACCAGAAAGACCAGCGTGGCAAATGAAATGTTATTTTCGCATATATTTTATAATCATGATTTAAAAACAGATTTGACTTTATGATTACAAATTTTCATTTCAGTCTATTTTTTTATTTTATTTTTTATTTTTTGCTTCTGTCTTCTGTCCAGTTCTCTAAGGCTGTATACTGTATCACATCCCATCAGTTTATATTGGAACAGCCTTGAGCATAACTACATTTAACCAGTATTATTTTAGCTTAGCTGCCTGGCTTTAAAAAAATAAAATAAAATAAATAAAAATCAAAGAATCATTCAAAAGACAAATGGTGAGTGGAGGCGCATTGCAATTAGAAAATAGTTGCAAAGATGTTCAACTAGACGATTTTTGAGGACTTTGAATCAATTCTGAACTCCCAGGACTGGGAAATGTGATTCTCCATGGAATCTATTTTTTTCCCCACACCTCTGAAGTACAGTAAAGTGAAACCCTGTGGATGAGTGTTGCCATGGCTCAAAGGCAACATAGGAGACCTGGAGAGAGAGAGAGAGAGAGAGGAGCAGCTGAGAAAGACAAGAACAGGAGAAAAAGTGGGGCCACGACAAGGTCGGCGCTCCAGCCGACTCTGGCAGCTCCGCTCACTCTTCCCTGCTCCACCTCTCCTCCCAGGGTCACAGTGTGTGTGGTGGGGAGGAGTGGGGGCTCCTGAATCATATCCACTCCCATAACAAATGGCACCGCTGGCTGCAAGCGTGCTGAGTAGGCAGCAAGATGCATCCTTCAGCACAGGAAAAAAAAAGAAAAAAAAAAAAAGAAAAACTGGTTTCCCGACAACTTCAGGTGGGTTCAGAAGTGACACGGTTAACGTTTTGTAATTTAATGTAGCGCTCCTCCCTGGAGCCCTCCACCCGCCGCACCCCCGCTGTGCTGTGCCTGACAGCTGACAAATGTTAACTCTGCAGCATTAAGATTACCAAGGAGGGAATTATTCCGGTTGGAAATGGGCTCGCTGTTTCCATTAGGACCACTCCTTCATACAACCATTTATAAGAGAGAGGCGGAGGGAGGAGGAGATGGGCACGCCAAAATCTTGTTACAGTTTTCCAAAATCAGATTAGGTGCCAGAAACGGGGAGCGCATACCTCATCAAATATTCATTTTATAAAGGCAGCGCTCTGCAGCAGCAGCAGTAGCGGCGATGTAATCTGAGAGAAAACATCTCATCTGCACTGCAAAAACACTCAGATCTCACACAGCATTTGTCTAGTTTCTAGTTCACATTTGAAATAAGACAAAACTAATTTACAAGTAACATTTCAGCAAGAAATAATATAAAAAATATTTAAAGTAAATAATTTCTTAATGGACGAAAAAGTACTTCTTCCATTGGTGGATTGTTACACTCAGTGATTAAATGGACTTGCTTTAAATGAAGATCTGCTAATGGAGCAAATACTTTCTCATCTATTAAAAAATGACTGTCTTAAAACAAGCTGCTATTTCTTGCTGCAAAGTTACTTGTGAGTTTTGCCTCATTTCAAATGCAATTGCACTAAAAACCAAACCAAAATTACTTGGTAAGATTTCGTGTTTTTGCAGTGTGAAGAAGAAGAAGGCAGCATTTTGGTTCCTGATCCCTCCTCAAACTGGATGTGATCGGTGACAGCACTGGAGAGATTTCTTTGTGGGTTTCTGGGAAACTGTCCTACTTTCCTGTTTGTTCTGCATTCTGAGTTTACTGGGTCAGAAGGTCGAGAACGGACCAGAACCTGCATAAAGCTGTGACTTCGGTAGCTTCCATTCAGTGACTGTGAGGTAAGATTTAGGGTTTTATATTCTGGTCAGAGGAAACCTTAATAGCCGGGAACAGAAGGCAAAAAACATTGCTGGAGGCTGTGCAGCAGCGCAGCACAGCCAAGGCCATTATGATGGCATCATGCTAGCAGCCGTTCTCAAGTGTTGCCATGCAGCGGGGTTATAATAACACAATAAGGCTGAGCTGGAGAGAAGAGGGCGAGAGCTGCTGAATTTAACAAACATGACCGCAGCAAGCAGGAAAGAACAAAGAGCTCCTGTTTCTACTGCAGGTAGAAACAGGAGCTAAATGCAGCAGATTCAGGTTTAGATTGCTATATTTTCAAGATTTATATTGGTGGATTATCAATTCATCTCAAAATAATAAAAAGGAATCCATTTATTGATGAGCATTATTGAACGTCATTAAGGGGACAGTATTATATATCTTTAAGTCATTTTAAAATGTAATCAAGAAACTGTTAACTTTAGTTATCAAAATATTTATATCATATATGACTTCAAATAAATTTAACTTTGTAATTTAAAACCTTAAAACTGTCTCCTGCTCTTTCTGAAACTCCGCCTCCAGGAAGTCATCACAACATGGCCCCTCTATTAACCCTTTAACGTTACCAGTGTTTCACTGAGAAGTAGATGATATGAGCTCAGCAGATGCTCGGCTCCACCAGGTGTTTGCTGATGGCTGCTGGCTAGTCTGAAGGAGCCAGCAGCTCCTTCAGCCTCGGAAGGAGCTGCCATGAGGCAGAGGCTTGAAAACTGCAGCTCTTAGGAGGAGCTTCATCTTGGAAGGCAGAGACAGGTTCACCCAGGCGTTTTGCACAGCTGACTGGTTGCCATGGGAGATTAAAGAATTTCTCAAACATAAAATTAAAGAATTAAGGGAATACTCCAGATATGTTTTTGTGCTTTTGATGAGGGAAAGCTCAAAAAAGTTGATTTTACATAATGTTCCTTTAATATTTTCAAAAATCGGTTTCTCTAATAAATAAAAACTAAGTCTTTGCCCCCTGCTGGTCCAGGAGGAATGATGCAGATCAGCAACTCAGGAATAAACTAAGTTTATTTCCTTACAAATAAACTTCTTAACCCAATATTTATAATAATGAGATCTTGATGCATAGATTGACTACTATGATTAGTTGGAGTGAATGTATAGTTGAATTAAATAGATTGATTGTAATGTGACTTGAGGTGACGTGTTGTGAATCGATACTATCGAAATAAACTGAGTGGAGAGCATTTAATCAGTTTTCTTTCTTCACATACAGGAAGCTTATTATGGCTCAAATCAAAACCTACACAGTCATGATTGAGTATTTTAGCTCATTTAAAAGCTATCCTGATTAGACAGGGTGTGATTCTTGGATCCCATCAGTGCAGACGTCATGGTTCGGTGCAGCTGCAGCTTACAGTGCAGCTGACGTTCCTCTGAAAGTCCACGCTTCCAGCCAAACAAAGCTGATGCACACCTGGACAAGAATCACTAAACGGTTGGAAACGTGTGGAGCTGGAGGTGGAAGAGTCTGCTGGCTCACAGAGTGAGGCCTGCGCTTGTTCATACAGAAACTGCTACAATGTTGAAAATGATCCCAGACTGTTGCAGTAAGGACGTTACGTCGGCATGGTGACAAGCAGCCTCAGCAGCAACAGGGAGGATAAGTGGATTATTTGATTCTTTTGAGTTTTCTACCTCTATCCTCCATGAAGCCTCCGGGATCTGGAGATGATGATTGACTGGAAGCTACTCTGATCGACTGTTTCCTGCTCTGCCATGTAGGAAACAGTCTACTGCTGCTGAGCTCATTATAAAGGCTTTAAAAACGGGTTAAGGCAGGTCCTTTGTTTCACTAAAGTTGTGTGATTTGACTCTTATTTCTAGCCTGGTCACGCTGCTACTTCCCACATTAATCCATCAGTGATTTTTTTTTTTCAGTCGATTAATCAGATAACCAAATTGGCACATTCTGCAGATTTTTCAATTAAGCCCATTTTATACTGAAAAAATGCAACTAAACAATTCAATTCCAATATCAAACAACAGAGATTTCATTTCCTAGAATCCAATAATGTCATTCCTTTGATCATTTGCAGTAAAAGATGCATCTGCAACAAAAAAATAAATACTTTAAAAAAAAAAGTACTTAAAGTGTAAGGATGATCTGTTGAACATCTTTTTGAGAAACTGATAAATAATTGGATTGCAAAAAGGTGATTAATGGATTTTTTTTCCCACAGTATTTGAACTGGAGTGAAATATTGTGGCTGCCACTTGAGTTTAGAGTAGAACATACTTAAAGTTTCTCTTATTTCATTTTAAATGCAACAAGTATACATGTATTTTTGCTTAGTTTCTTCTTTGACTGTGATGTTTTCAGCAAATGGCCTTTTTAAAGTCTGTATGCTCCAGTTGATTAATCAATTATTGATGTAGTTCACAATTATTTCAATAATTGATTCATCATGATTAAAAGTTTCAACCCTGATTCTAATGTAACAATTTATAACAGAATTGAGGAGGGGAAAACATTAAACACCAAGTGGTGGCGGTGTTTACCGAGGCGGAGGCACTGGCGCAGGATCCCGCCCGACGACATGTTCTTCTCCGCTTCAATCTCGGTGAAGTTCAGAGAACTGGCGAAGATGAGAACGTCCGCCAGGTTGATGAGGCGCTGGAGGAAGGTGATGGAGGCCTCCACCGACAGGCCCTGGGATGGCTCGATGTTCTCCAGCTCATGCTGGTGGGCCACGGCGGAACAAGGCAACAGGACAGAGAGCAGAACAAAAAGCAACAATAGAAAAGAAAATACAGGTTTTAATGATCATTCTGATGTGTTAAAAACACTAATGAAACAAAAAAAATCAGGACTGACAGTTTTCCATCTGCCTTAAAATGATATTAAAATGATATTAAATTAATTTAATATCAGTTACATTTAATAATAAATAAATGTCCACAAATTAAAAGGGAGTAATTACTACCAGGCTTCTCCTTATACCTGCTGTCTTCATTGTAGCTGAGCAGGGAGGTGGAGGTATTTGTTATCCAACCCTAGCTGCCACTTAAGCAGAGAGCAGTGAGAGCACATTTAGTTTGAAATTCAGTTACTGGTCCCACACTGCTGCTAACTGGATTATACTGGGACTGAGCATCGGCCCATTCCTTAGCCAGGCTGGCCAGGTCACCGTCCAAGAATCACATCAGAGCACTGAAGTCATCGGGGGTCAGAGCAGACTCAGCCAAGCTAACGACGTTAGCAGGCAGCCAACTGTAGTCTAATGTGATTGGCAAAGGTCAGCGTGGATTGATCGTTTGTTGTGGGCGGAGCCGCGAGCCGCCGACGCCAACAAAGAGCGGAGAGAAAGGGAAGCGACTCACGGAGGCAGACGTGGCAGCGGACAGCAGAGGCAGGATGCCTCCACAGGCCATGATCAGGTTGTCCACCACCTGGGACACCAGGTGGATGCTGTTGTGGACAAACACGGCGTTCTCGCTGCTGTTCACAAAGTCCAGGACCGTTTTTGTGGAGTGACTAAGAGAAAGGACAAGAAAGTGTGGCAATGTATTGGAGTCAATGTAGACGGGGAAAGAAGATAGAGTAAGATTCCATCAAAAACTAAAGAAAAGTCAGAAATTTTGAGAAAAATATCAGAATTTTGTTTAAAAAAACCCATGAAAAGTAATTGATTTATTTCTCATTGTGACAGGGTCACATATCAAAGTAGATGCATAGCACAGATGTATCTTCTCAGATACCATTTTACTTTTTTTTTTTTTTTAAACACAAAATATTAAGCAAGAAATGTTAGGATGCTGGCATTGTTTGAACAAAATACAATGAGGCCCAGGCTGGTTTGAGGTCCTGAGGTACATCAAAGATGGCAACCATCTTCCATCACATCACTGCTGTGGTTTAAATTGTTTTAATGAGATCTCAGATAGCAGAGCTGCTGCAGAGAACCAACTCGCCTCCAGAAGCACAAAGCCTTTGGTTTGGAGAGATTCCCCGTTACAGAAAAACAGCTGCGGGTCCCAGAGGAGCAACACTCATCTTTTAGACTGTAAAGTTCTTATCAAATGAAATCTAGAAACGGGCATGTCTGCTGAGAGATAAACAGCCGAGATGAGCAGACGTCGGGTTTATTCAAAGGTTTCTTTTAGTCTCTTCCTCACTTTGAAAATCTCTTTAAAAATCTAACAACTTTCTAAAGACTCTTCACTGAAACATGACCTAATGAAGGCATTAAAGTAACAAATGGTTCATATTCTGTATATACAATACTCAAACAATATTTGATATGTTAGTAGATGCATAAATTGTTTAGATTATGCCATCCATTTTAATAGTACTGGTTTATCTATAGTTACCATAACAGGATGGTGGTCTGTCTGCTCCACTTGAAACCATCTGATTAAAATTAAAAATAATTTAACTGAGGTGTTAGGAACTTGTGAATATTAATAATAATTCCTGGGTAGAGTTGAAACAATTAGTCGAATTAATCGTTAATAATTGGTAAGCTTCTCAAGAGGACTTGGTAAGCCTTTATTCAGTGAATCAATATAATGGTAATGGCAACATGAGGAGAATGTGAGCCGGTACGAGGGCTCCTTACCTCCTCCACGCCTGAACGTCTGTCTCGATAGAGAATAGTAGGTCGGTGAGGAGGCGCTGATGCATGTGGGACCAGCGGAACTCTGGGATACGGAACATGGTGGAGCGAGGAGCCGAGGTGCTGCCGTCTTCTGGCCGGCCTGCTGGACTTCCTGCTTCCCCTGCTGCGCCTGCTGCGCCTGCTGCAGTTGTGGTTTGGCCTTGGTTTGATTCCTGCAGAGTTACACCAACCAGACAGAACTTTAACCACCGAGCAGGATTCAAGAACATTGATTCTAATGTCCAGAGTCAATGAATAGATGCGTACCGTGATAGAGGTCTCCTTTAGTTCAAGTCTCTCTGTGTCCACGGCAACATTTGCCACATCCAGCCGGGCGATTTTGATCTCTTTGGTCTTTCTGACAGGATCTGGAGTCTTGCTGGTGCTGGAGCCGGGGGTGCTGGTGTCAGGGGCATCCGGAGGGGTCTCCTCTGCGGCAGACATATTGGACTCTGAAGGCTGGCTTTGTGGAGCTGCCTCTGGAGCTGCTGCTGCCTGTTGGTCTGAAGCAGCACCTTCTGACTTAGAGGAAGACTCCGGAGCACTAACATTTTCTTTGGTGGGTTCCTTGACACTTTGGTTAGCTACTTCAGTTTTTGAAGCAGGACCTTCCAAGCAAGACACCTGGTTCTCCACAGAGTCCTTCTCTTCTTCTTCTTCTCTGATCACAGTCTCCGTTTCCTGTTTACCTTCTTCCGTCTTTGGCTCCTGCTTTCGGAGGTCTTTTGTTTTGCTTCCATCCCCTTCATGCTTATCTTCCTCTTTTTTAACAGGCTCTCCTTCTTCACCCGTAGCAGCTGAAGCATAAGACGACTCTTCTTGGCTGTCGTCCACATCGCTCGGGTTGATCTGGTCGCTAACGGATGACACATCAACCAAGTCCTCGTTGAAGATGGAAGCTCCGCCCACCACGCTGTTCTCCAGGGGTGCTGGAGGCTCGGAGGACATCTGCTTGCTGTCATCCCCCTTTTCAGAAGTTACACTTGACTCTTCTGTTGAGTGTTTCAATGAATCCCCTTGTTCATGGTGGGCTACCTCTGCCTGCGCGTCATCCTTTGTTGGGGCAGCAGAATCCTCTTCCGTTTTTGGACCAGACGCTTCACTCTGGGCATTCCCTGACGTTTCTGCATCATGGCTGCTTTTCTCAGATGCTGGCTCAGTCACTTCATCTTTGTGCACCGCAGTGGAAGTTTCTTTGTCAACGTTTGACTGATCACCAGAAGACAACTCCATTTTCTGCTCTTCCTCAGCGCCGGCCAGGATGTTGGACACGGTGATGGACGGTTGGTTCCTGTCCTCTACAGCCTCCACAGGAGTAGAGGTGATGGTGGAACCGGACCCTTCATCTACTGTGAGCTGGACGACCGTCGAGGGCGCCGTCTCTTCAGCAGGCGACCCGTTGACAGATTTGGTATCTTCAGAGATTTGGCTCACTCCAGAGATGGTGCGAACGGTGCTGCGAGAGCTGGTGGACCCCTGGTCCTGGTACTGACGGAACATGCGGGACAAACTTTCTTTGTGCTGCTCAAAGGTCACCTGTGAATGTACAGTTCATAACAATGTTAGAAAGAGGGCTGGACAATAAATCAATACCAATATGTATTACGATAGACAAGATCAATGTCAACAGATAATACTTCTGATAGAAGTGTTATTCCTATTGAATTCCAATTGAAAACCGCACAGTATCCTGGGGGATGCAGGCAGAGAAAAGACTTTAGTCGCTCAACCTCTCACATCCAGCTAAGCAAAGAAGGAGGAGTCAACTAACTCACTCCTTCACTCTTTGGTTACCTAGCAACAATCTGCTGAGTACCGTGCACAGCATCAGTTTCAGGATTTGCCACTGTGCCACAAAACTTTAAAAGTAAAAAACAGTGTAGAGAGAAAACTGTGGATAAAAAAGTAAAGCTCAAGTCATCAGTCTTTCAGATAGGTAAAACAAAAAACTAATCAATAATTATCAATGTTTACTGTTACCTTTTTCAGCCATATCATCCTGCTCTAGTTAGAAATATAACTATTGTAAACGCTAACCATTCTGTGTGCATGTTATATAGAGCTGTAAAATTAAAGACTTTTAAGCTGTAGACATCTGGGTACAGGGCAATGCAATAAAATATAAAGGTTGCTTCCCTGCCTCAAATTTTTGAAAACAGTTTAAACACTTACTCCAAACCAACCCCTGCAATTGTGTAGGGGGGCGGCTTGGGAAGGAGTGTTTCTGTTTGGGCATTCAAACAACACACAAACCCACAGAGCATCAATCTCACAACTCCAAAGACTTCAAACTCCCTGAAAGCTTCGAGTTTCTCTCCCCGGCTCCACTTCTTCAGACCATAAGCTTGATTCATTGTTAGGATGGTCTAAACTGGCTTGCCTACACAGATACCACAACTGTTCCTCGAGTTTACAGGGAATGGTCTGAAAATGAGAAAACATCGAGTTGCAAGGTATGACAATGACTTGTTGATGTCGGAACGACAGACGAACTGCTTGAAGATGATGAAACGACAAGTTGCTCGAGTGATGAAAAATAACATCCCTGAATGCTCAACATGCCGGTCCTTGCAGCAGATTAGGTACAGCAGCAGGAGACCACACCGGCTGATGGTTAATTAGACAGCTGAAAACAGGAAACGGAGACTATAGTTTGGATCATAAAACCTGGACAAACGCAGATTGGAAAATTATTCCAAGTCCGTTGAGTCTCAATCAAATCTGACACTCCAAGCATATCAACAGTAACTAAACAGAAAACAGGGCAGAAACCCAGGCAGCCATTTTTGATCCAAAAAGACGTCGTATATGGAGCTTCCGCTCTCTCACTACACCAGTACCACCCACACATTCATAAAATCCTACAAAAATGGATCATTTGCCAGATTACCTATTCATGAGAAGCTTGATATTTTTCTAAAACACTGCATTGGACACTGTATTTAACATTTCAAACAAATGATTTGACAAAAATGTTTTGTTCATCAACTCTAGACAATGCTCTATACTGGTGCCAGATGTGTGAAAATTTAAAGATTGTTTGAAATATCTGATAGTTTGAATAAATAAAATGTAATGCACCCTGAAAAAAAGGTTTTATTTTTATGTCTCATATTCACAGGCTAAGAGGAAAATGCTAATTTATCAAAATCTAATTCAGGAGTAAGCAAGCAATAGAATAAACAATTGCATGATAAATTAAAATCAGTTCAATAATATCTTTCTGATTAATATTTTTGATGGTCAATTATGTTGTCAGAGACATCATAATCCATTTTACATATGGTTTCAGTTGTACATGGTCTTTATTTGTTTTTTATTTATCATTTTTGGTTGACATGTTTTAGTTTTTATCTTCTGGTTCCAGTGTTAAGTGAAGTACTCTTTGTAAAATTAAAGTTTATTGGTCACTTTCATCATTATGCCATTGTAAATATATTACATGAAAATGCTCTCAAAACAGTAAATAATTTCTGGGACAATTCATTGTTCAGCAAAATGTGCTATTGTGACAGGCCTATTTAGGAGGCCTTTTGTTTTCTTTAAACAAAATGGATCCAAAAATAATGTGACGTTTTAATGGACTAGGATGACAGATAAAGGTGCATCTGAACAAATAACACCATGGAAATGGTCAGCAATAGGTCAACGATGACAAATATGTAAAAATAAAGCCAGATTTTTAAGCATATTCTTAGTCTACGTTGTCAAAAGTCTAACTCCTCAACTTATGACGGAGAACCCAGCAGCAGCAGCAAAATAATCTCAAAATCTTTGAATCTCAGTACATCATCCCACCACTGGGACTGTTTGTGGATAACTGAGTCATATTTAAAACTTCTCTCTCGTAAGCATCTGGCTGAGGCCCATTAACCTCCATCAGTCTTCCTATCATCTGATACGGGTAAACCAGACTGCTAGTCTATACCGACAATGGTCTGCAGTGGCATGTGAGGAAGAACCCGTCCATGTAAGCAGTCATAGATTAGCAGCAGATACTATTAATTTCTGTCTTTTAGCTGTGCTGAGTGCGTGTCCGGCATCGGCAAATCCTCCCACGCCTAATTTAAGACCCTGTATTAATCACTTGGTTTGGAGCACAGAGTCGAAGATGGGGCTCTCTGTGTGTGTGTGTGTGTGGGGGGGGGTAGAAACTAAACCTACTTGGCTGATTTTTCACCTGAGGCTATTTAGACAGAAGACGGGGAAGAAGAAAAAAAAAAAGAGGAAACCGAGAAAAGAACAAACATGAGAACGCTGAAGATGAAAGAAGAAAAAAAGGAAAATAAAGAAAGTGAGTGATTGAGAGAGGAAGAAAGGAAAGAGGGAGAAAGAAGCTGATTATTTGTAATTAATTAGGCGTTATTGTTCTAAATTAGCCCTCTACATGGGCGCTCATTAATCTTCTGTAGTGGGAAGCAGTGACTGGTAATCTATAGCCGTTTTCTGAGTGCCCAGCCTGCTCTAAATGCACCAGTCTTTCCGTCTTTCCGACCCCCCATCCCTGCCTCTCCGTCCCACTCTCCCAGTGATCACACCAGACGACCTTCCAACCCATTAGTTTGAGCTTAATTTGGCATTCATCATTTTTAGCAATTAAAAGGCTGCATTAAGACTGCACTGCTGCAGACATTATGCAGGAAAGTGGCGAAGCACATAACATCATAGATTAAGGATGCCGTCTGTACATTAGGATGATGTATGCTGGTCTTAAATGGGGCTCTGCAACAGATCCAGTTACCACCAGACAGAGGTAGAGAGAGAGAGAGAGTGTGTGTGTGTGTGTGTGTGTGTGTGTGTGTGGTTTCTGAAAGAGCATTTAGCTCTGCTCAAAAACACAGAAAGTGCCCTGGGTGGCTAAGGCATCAGTGCTGATCTAATCTAATCTAATTTCGGTCTCCTCAACGACTCGTCCGGTCTGGCCGTAGCGGGTTATGGAAAAATGTTAGGATAATGTAGAGGCTTTTCTAATTTGACAGCTAACATGGTATTAACTGGGTGCAACAAGCCCAATTCACCCGGTCCCTTAGCGTCTAATGCCAAGATACAGCAGAAGGAGATTTTCCTAGAGTGGGCAAAGATGATATTTAATGTCAATACACTGACAGGAAACGTGGCGTCAGTTTTTCTGAGAACAGTAAATAGTTGACAACTCAAAGTATCACAAAAAGTCATGGCATAAAACCACCAAGTTCCCTTTTACTTTATAAAACTTTATAGAGTAATAAACACGAGGCCTATCACAATAAACAATAAATAAATTTATCGCATGATAAATTAAAAGAAACTATAATTTTCTTTAGCTTGATTTATCGTTTTTCTCTTTTCTCTCTTTTTACCAAAAACTGAATGATAAAAGTCATCAATCTGGTCTTTTGGGCTCTATCCCTTTTTTTTTTTTTTTGAAAGATAATTTTGTTTACACAGACTTCATAATCCGTTTTATTTGTTGTTTCTGTTTTATTATTTTCTTATTTATTTTGGATATTCCAAATGTCTTCCAGTTCCAGTGTTTAAATGTTCATTAGAATTTAAAGTTTACTGACTGGAATATGTTCTTGCATTATAATGCTATTGTTGCTATATTACTGAAATGGTCTAAGAACAACAATATTGTTGTTCATCACAATAAGTTCTGGGACAATTTATCGTCCAGCAAAATTTATTGTGGTGATAATCAACACAGCACCATGCAGGAGCTGACATTACGCATTTCCACTGAACAAATTTATTTCCTAAAAAATCTAATTGCACAATTACATAGTCAATGGGAACGCAACAAGTGGTAAGCCGTTTTGTGTTTGTAACTTTTTTAACCAGGTATGTGTCATTGAGATTAAAAATACATTTTTCAAAAAAGACCTGTCCAAGAAAGGCAGCACTCTGAATGATCAAAGCTGATCAAGATTAGTCAACTATCTACCATTCTACTTTCATAAACAATCAGTTTTTCTGCTTTGCACCAATTTAAAAGAACATTAAACATTAACTGGAGTTTTGCTAAAACAACATTGCAACATTTCAGGTTAATGGCTTAATACAATCAACTAATCCTGCGTCTGCTCTCTATCTCTTTGGAGTCTGACATATGGACTGAAGCCAGCTGATGGTAGGAGAGTGAAGGGCAGTGGGTCCTTCACACCTCAAAGCTCTCCGTTTTGGCGGGCTCCTTGATTCCCAGACTGCTTCTGGTGCAGAGGGGCACCTTGAAGAGAATGCGTGAGCTGAGAGTGGGAGGGCTGTGGTGTCAGTGGGCCCACCTGCTGGAACATCTGTCTGTTCACACGACACGTATGCAGATGCACTACTTTGCAGATGACTGACAGAAGTATATGCATAAATGCACGCTTGCAAAAGTGATGTCAGCTTTAATGGCGTTTTAATCTGAATAGAATTGGAGCTCGTACAAAAATGTGCATGTGCTGCTTTAGCTTTTTTTTTTTTTTTTTTTAATTGTTTGTGCAATTATTTTTAACTACAAAATAAATTGTAATGTTTGATAAAGCCAATGCAGTTTTGATCATCTCATTTATTAGGTTTAAACAAAGCTACAAAAACAACCAAGGCTTGTGTCAAAAAGTGATTAACCCTAAACCTCACGACGGCAAAACCTAGAAAGACTCATGTTATGTCTGACTGGATTTCAGAGTCCACATCTCTGCCCTCCATGTACTACATTAAAAAATAAATCTAGACAAGAGAAAAATGTCAAGTGTCAGTGTTCCATTTTCAATGCCAACAGGATAGTTGGAGTTAAGCTAAGCTTGGCTAAAGGTTGAATATTCAGAATGTTATGAAGAACTGACCAAGCTCAGGTAAGTAATTTACAGTCATTTCATTTGTTCTGGACGGAGTTTTGAGGAAGGTTAGACGTTTTGTGTTATTAATAACTTTGTGCATAAGCAGTGGGTTTAGCAGGCCAACCTCTGCAGAGCTTCACCTCTGCTCCATGTGTGGATAATGGATCCCAATGTGGCTCACAGGATAATCTTCAGAAATGATATCAGGGGACGATGTGTTGCTTCTAGAGATGGTTTAGCCTACTTCCTGCTGTCAGACTGGTGCTCTTTGGGCCATTTCTTAATTCCACATGGCTAGAAGAGAAACTGAACCAAAAATCTATTTTGGTGAATTAATTATAGTTCATTCACGAATTAATAACAGGGTGGTTCATTTATTTCTTGAATAAATTAAGTAATTTGAAAAGTGTATTTTGTATTTTCACTGGTTATTTGAGATTACAATGTATAGATCTGAAACATGAAAGTGTGACAGGAAAGCAAAAACAGAAAAAAGAAAAAAATCAGGAAGGAGGTAAATACTTTTTCACAATAAGCATATTTGGAAATCCTTGCTTTTTCTGTATGTTTGATCAAGTATAGATATTAAAAATCTAAATCAATAACTTTTGCTGTAACTATCTATTGCTAAGTAATTCCATCAGATTCAGGACCAATTGTTGAATTTCTATTTTACATAAAGCCAACTGGATCATTTTAAATGTTTAGGTTTTACATTTCATTTGAAATATTGTGATGCTATGAAACCATAATTTGAATTGTCTCAGGTTATCTGTCTGAGATTACAATTTGCTGATCTGAAACCTGACAGTGTGACAGAAAAGCGAAAAAAACAGAAAATAATCTGTAAGGAGGTAAAATTTTTCACTCTAATGTTCAATTTACATTTATTTGGGAACTATTGTTTCCTTGGACTTTTGCTCAAGAATAGGTATTAAAATCAAAATCAATAGCTATCATAAATGACATTACTGTAAGTGTAATTATTGCTGAATAATTTTAGATGCAGGAACAATTGTTGCATTTCTCTTTTACATGAAAGCAATTGGATCACTTTAAATGTTTAGGTCTTAAATCGAGTCATGCTTTGAAATGGTATTTTACACAAAGCAATGATACAGTGAGTATCTCATTCTGGCCAAACTCAGTCTGTATGTGTGCATAAAGTGCAGATATGCATTTCTGCATGCATATCTGCACTTGAGCCCAGGCGGCTCCCAGAGGGACGTGTGTATTTATGAGGCCTTGTTCTTCCGATTGTTCTTGCTTTGCAACCATGAATATTCAATGTGCTCAGAGAGAAGGGCTTGCTAGGAACCCAGGAGAGGAGGACAAAAAAAAAAAAAAAACTGTGGCTGGTAACTCACAATCACCCAAACACAGACACACCGATGCTATCACACACACACACAAGCACACACGCGGCCCTGTGGCGGTGGGAGGAGAGAGCAACAGTGACAAACAACTCTGGTGCTAGAAAGGTGGCAGCAAATCTATCAAACGGGACAATAAAATTGCAATTGAGTTTCTTTAGGTTTTTTTTTTTTTTTTTCATAGCGGATGCATGCATCCTGGTGGCTGCAAATAACACACCAAGGAGGTTCCAGGACACTGCATGTGGGAAAACTCTACTGGATGTTTCTGAGCAGGAATTAGCTTTAAATCCTTAATTAAAAACACCAACATTTAAAAAAAAAAAAAAAAAAAAAAAACAGCAAAAACTACATTTTTTTACTGATCTCAAAAATATCACTACACACTTTTTTTTCATGATCTTTGTATCTTTTTTGTTACACCGAGATACACATCTTCCTTCACGTGGAGGAGTGTGTGTGCCCCCTGTTGGCCAGCAGCGCTCACTGCACACACACCCCCCTCCCCACACACACACCCCCAGGGGGTTACCGACGCCCCCTCATATCACGAGCACTTCTTTAACTCCACTCTCAATCTGCCAGCTTTAAAAGCCCCCCAGACCACAATCCGACACCGGCCTCAATTATTTCGCTGCCCTGGAACGGAGTTGTGTAACGTGATATCAACAAAGAATTTCTGAGGCACTGTTTTGAATACAACTTATGGAAATAATAAGTGCCAGGAGTTTATTTTTTATCTGTTCGGCGTGAAAGAAAGAGACTCTTTACATAAATGATAAAAAAAAATAAAATTTAAATGGCCGTAGAGAGGGATCCATTCCGACCGGGTCGCGTTGTAACGAGCTTTTAAACGATAATCAGCGGAAAGCCTCGGTGGTTTTAATCTGATGGGCGAGGGGAGCGAGGCTTCGCTTCCAGTGGGAGTTACCCAGCCAGGCGACGGGGATGATGTCTCTGTGATGAGCTGCATGTGGCACACAGGGACTGACTTATTGCTCTCATTTTCACTGGAGACCAAGTGAGGATGAAGGTTACAGTTACGCTGATGTGATGACTGTTTAGGTTAACTATATTGCTGCAAGATGTGAGTGTGTGTGTGTCATGTGCAGTTGAGCTTATATGAAGAGACGCCATACAAGTAGGAAAAAGGGGGAAAAAAAAAAATGGGGGGAGTCTACAAGATACAGTCAACCTTTGTGTGTGTGTGTGTGTGACATAATGAGCACTCTGACCTTGGAGTGTGTGATGGACAGGGTGTCCACCCAGACGCGCCAGCCGCCCCACTCGTACTTGATGGCGTGGTAGAGCAGGATGCGGAAGACGGCGTAGACCATCTCTGTGATTTTCTGCTCCTCGTTGCTGCGCGGGCTGACGAAGCAGAGGGAGAGCATCCACTCCTGCCACACGGAGCACTGCAGCAGGCACCTGGAACGACAGCGGGCCCCGGGCATGAGGGCCAGCCTCCGGTCGGGTGGGGGAGCCCCTCCGCCCGGCCGGAGGCTGGCTGGTTATTATAGTTTTGGGGGTTTTTTTTATTGTAGTTTCATTTTAATGTAGTCATGACTTTTCATTTGTCTAATTCAGTTCATTTCATTTAGTGTTTGGAGTGTTTTAGTTTGTTCTTAATCGTTGGTAAATATTGTGTAGTTTTGTTTTGTTTTTATTACAGTAATAGTTTTAGTTTGCATATTTTGGTTAATTTTTAGGTGCAGAATTCAAAAAGGTGTTGTGATTAAGTAAACCTCGATTGTGTAATAAATACTCAGCAGAACTATTTTCCAAAAAATAATCAAAATTATTTTTGAACAAAAACTTACTGGTGTTTTATCCCAACTTGCCATTTCTGCAAACTATTTTATGGTTCACGGAGTGACATAATTTGACAACAGCTGATATAAGCTGCTTCTGCAGGGGATAAAACAACTTCATATCAGCTTAAGGGAGAATATTGTAGCTAAAATTTCAGTACGTTTTAGTTTTATAAACGCACAATATAGTTCCTATTATCGTTTTTTTCCCCCATTAATTTCCGTTTTAATTTATTTCAGTTAACGAAAATGTTTTCTCAGTTTCAGTTTTCATTAGTTGTAGTTTATTAGAATAACTTTGTGTCTTACCTGCGGTTCTCTCGGCTGTTATTGAACAGCTTGATCATGTCTGACAGGAAGACCCGGCGGACCTCCATGCTCTCAGGCGACTGGGGGCAGTTCTTCAGCAGAGCAGCGATTACCTTCAGGATTTCTAGGAGAGAAAAACAACCGTTTTAACAAGCTGCAGGGGGAAAAAATCCTTTTCTCTTTAATGCAGAAAATGGAAACCAACCATAGAAACCAAGCATTTCTCCTTCGTTAGCCATTTTGAAATAAAGAACACAAAGGCCTTCTCTACAGTGAGTCAACACAAAAGTAGTCAGTCAAGTTCCCAAGTTGAAAGTATATTATTTGGATTTTATGTGAACAAAATGTGGCACATAACTGAAGTGAAATTGAAAAATGTAATTAAAAAGAAAATTACCAGGGTGAATTTTTCTCCCATCAAATCTAACAAAATTGGCGTCAATCGTTTGTGCAGCGAACCAAAAACAAAAACAGCCGCACGATTTCTGTTTGTGTCGATATCAATTCAAAGATATTAATAATGTTTCCAGAGGTCATCAAAGGTCAAACAGCCAGCGCACATGCAGAAATTTAAACAACATATGAGGTCAATCAACTGTGCCATGTTTGTGCTTTTCTAATTTTTAAGATTTCAATTAAAGAGAAAAGTGTCCAGAGGTCGCCAGAGGTAAACCTGCCCTACACCAAATCTGTTTGATTTTGAAAATGTAGGAGACCTTTGATGACCTCTGGAAACATTTGTTAATATCTTTAAAATGATACAAACAAAAATTTCTGCTGCACAAACAACTGACATCAATTTCATTTGATTTGAAGGTGGGGGATGGAGGGGAGGGGGTTTCACTCACTGTCTGCAGCCCGCTTGATCAAATCTAACCAACAGCTTGGTTGAAGTTATAACTAAAAATCCAAACAATGCATCATTTCACAACATCTCCTGCTCAGATCAGTTCCTTCATGAAGGCCTTCCACTTCCACACCGAGTATTTTCAACACGGACGCATATCAGTGTGTGTTGAACTCATCGGGCCGAACAACCAAACACACCTTCAGTCTCAGCCTCCATAACAGACCGGAGGAAACCGAGAGGCTGGAGCTCTGAAACGGTTACGGTGCTGCGTGAACAGGCGAGCCAGGCTGCACGCACACGCACACGCACACACACACACACACGCACACACACACACACACACTCCAGAGAGGCTTTGGCTTGGGTTAAACCAAAGAGACTGACTGTTTAGATGAATTATCTAGACAGTGTCAGTGTGCATTTGCCCTCAGCAGAGAGATGCTGGGGCTTGGATTTCACTTGTCTCTTCAGACTTTGGTGCTAACCAAATCCCCCCACCCGGTCTCCTCCTTCCAGACGCTCGTGTTGTTTCTACGCCTTAGTCACTCAAATTATGAGTCGCTGAACCTTTACCGCCAGAAAATTACCCCAGCATGTATTTGGAATGAGGACAGAGGGGATGGCGTGAGTCCTCCTTTTTTTTCTCGCGTTTTTTTTTTTCCATTTGCTCTTGGTTCTTTCCCCCCCCTCCAAAGTTAATTTGAGGGAAATGCTACTTCCTCGGTTTGTTTGATTGGCTCTGACGTTACTAAAGACTGCAATCAGGGGGCCATTTTGGGAGTTTGTCACAGATTAAATCAGGAGAATACAGAGCAAAGAAGGAAGAGACCAGCCCTTTGTGCTCTGTAGCATGAGAGCACATGTACTAAGGTTCTCATAATTTATATATATATATATATATATATATATATATATCCAGCATGGCTGAGCAGGAGAATTTTTAACACAGTAAAGACCTGGAAGATAATCAGTGTGCGACTGCAGCGCAGCCTGTCAGATTAAGGCTGGGTGGAAGTAAACCTTGGTTGTGATTACAGCGAGCGCTTACATTTCAAACTGATTAAAGCCGTTTTGAGCGTGTGTGTATAGAATGCACGTGTGGGTGCAGAAGGAATGGGATAAAAGAGAGTCGGACCGGTTTCTTTTCTACGCTGGGGAAAAAAATTTAAAAATGTTTAAAAAAAAAGAGAGAGAGAAGAGCGCCAGATATTTTTCAACATGTGAAAAAAGTTGAAGCTGATTGAAAACTGGACAAAAGTTTCTGCAAACAATTTGATTAAAATGCAGATTTCGACTGAATTTTTTTTTATATTTAGCACAGATATCCAGTTATCCATGAGTGTGCATCTATCAGTCCATAACTAATGTTTATTTGGTTAAAGATTCATAGGCCCGCTACAAGAGTAAATGTTGCTGGACAAGAAATTGTCCCAATAATTAAAATAAATGCCAATATTTTTGTTTTGAAACCATTTTTAAGTGATATAATAATAACTACAATAATAATAATAATAATAATTCAAATTTGCTCTCTCAAAATTCAGTTTTGCAAACACCATTTAGAAGGTGTTCAACATATCCAAAATAAAACATGAAAACCAAAAACAATAACTAAAACAAAAATAAAGGCTAAAAGTCTGGTTTTATCAGCTTCAATTTAAAAAAAAAAAATCTATTTTCTAAAAAGATTAAATTACATAAATCACAATAAATTTTGCTGGATGATAAATTTCCCCAGTAATTGTGATAAAGAGTATTGTTTTAAGACTATTTTCAGATAATGTATTGACAAAGTTTGCCTTCTCAAAGATTAACAAAACTTTAATTTTGTAACTGGAGCTGGAAGATGTTTGAAACGGAAATGGAAATAAAAGCTAAAAACACCTGGAACCATAAATAAAATAAATTATGAAATCTCTCTAAATAATGTCTGCTTCAAAAAAAACTGTAAATCAATCAGAACGGAAATTTTTGAGGTGATGTTAATTTATCATGTGATTAATTGATTAATTGCTTATTCTGACAGGCTTCGTCATTATGTTGGGAAGATGAAATCCTGCGGTGGTTTCTCTCATTAATATCACATGGAGGTGAGTTTTCAAGCTGGTCCTCATTGCTTCATTATGTTGAGGTAACTGAAGCTTCATCACTGCTTTTGGTCAATAATGAGATTTTTAACTCATTATGTAGAGTTCCAATCTCTCAAAAATGTTGAGGAAACATTGTCTTATGATGCGATTAATAATTGAGTTTAGCCGATTTATAAAAAGCCGGTTCACAACGAATGACGTCTGAAAGTCGTTTACAAAAATAAACGCAGCTGATTTATTGGTTTACAGACAGAAATCTAAAGTCGATCCAATCGGATTCAAAGTCAGTTCCACATATTTTGGCCAGAGATATAAAATAGTTTATGAAGCAAATAGTGAAAACAATACAGAGTGATCAAACTACCTCATCCATTTTAGATTACCAGATTAAAAGTCTCATCAACATAAATCAAGTCACTTATAATTATGATATATATAATTACATTTAATTGTCTGGAAAATTTTTGCCATTTTTCTGAGCCATTACATTTTAAAAACATTGATTGTGTTCATAGTCATGTCGTCCTAAAAACAAAAAATATTTTATTAACTATGAAAGTAAAAACATAACCGACATACAAGCTTGTCACAATAGATCAATTAATCACATGATAAATTAAAAGGAGAATGATAATTTCCATTCAGATGATTTATATGTTTACAGACTTTGTAATCCATTTTATTTATGCTTTTGGTTGTGTGGGGTTTTTAATTTCCATTTTATTTATTTATTTTTTGTTCATTTTGGTTATTTTTTTTGGTTATTTAAAATATCTTCTTCCTGTCCAGCGTAAAGTTTTCTTTACTAAATTAAAGTTTATTTATCTTTTGAGAGGGCGAGCTCACTTTCTTATCAGTTTATTACTTAAAAATGGGCTCAAAAGAACAATAGTTTGGTGTGGGAGTTCAATCATTTCTGGAACGATTTATCATCTGATAAAATTTATCGTGACAGGTCTATCTGCATATGATTAAAATGTAAAAAAATAATAATAATAATAATAGATAATTTGCTAAAACCATTTCACTCCATTCATCACTCCTTTATTTCAAACCAATCCTGCCAGGAAACAACAGAGAACCTCGATAAAACAAGCATGAGTGTGGATGTGTCAGGCAGAGTGTTTGGACCATCCTAATGTTTGGATTACATCGGGGGTCCAACAGTCACAAAACTGTTGGACACACACACACACACACACACACACAATCTGAAATTTACAGCATTGGTGTGTTAGTGGAACAGCCCAGCGACGGAGGGAGGAACCTACGCGGGTTGACAATCTTCACGGAGGAGTCGGGGTCTGGATGCTGCTTGTGGATCACCTGGGTACAGATCTGCTCCATTAGGATCTAGGAGGGAACACACAGTCAGTCAGACGGGGATTCAAGCTGGAAACGTCTGAACGGTGACAGAAACAGCCAGCTGGGTTTCATTTGTGACGAGAGTCTGGAGCTTTCCTCATTTACAGCTGAATTTAGCACAAACGCACAACTATTATAGCTTATTATAGACTTTTTTTATTTTTTATCCCTTGAGTCGTGTGAGCTTGAAGTGAGCCGAGGCAGACCGACCTCAAACAGGGTGTTGTAGGTCGTCATGGTGAACGGGTTGGAGTGGAGCATCAGGCGTTCGGTGAGCAGCGAGAAAAGGCCGTGGGTCAGCATGACCTCAGATTTCCTCCTGATCGGGGTTGGGGGGGGGTGAAAACAGGGTCAAAGGTCAATGGAGCAGTGCAGTGGCATTGTTTGTCCAAAAGTATTTCAAGGACAAAATATGAACCATTTCCAGAGTGATAGAAAAGATATTTAGCTTCAAGCAGCATGATGCAGAGAGAGTAAAACGTCTCATATTTTAAACTTCATTTTCAGATGATTTTAATGATGAAAAGGATAATTGGCTTTAATCAAACTTTTTATTAGTCTGACTGTTACTGTACAGTGTGAATGGTGATTCTGATGCATAATAACGGAACTTGGCTAAACATAATGTTTAGTGGTTTTCTCGGTTGCTGACTGCGTGGTGTCTTCTATGATTTTGTGCTTTTATGATGTAAAGATCTTTGAACTGCCTTGTTGCTGAAATGTGCAACACAAATACACTTGATTGATGGCTTGATCTGAATCCAGACAGTCTTCCGACTAAAACGCGAGAAGGAAAAGCCGTGGAGAATCAGCCGTCGCCTGGGAAACAGATTATCTAGACGTCCTTTAGGTTTGGAGTTTTACTGTTTAACGTCATTAATCCTAAAATCTTCCGTGTTATCCCAAGCTGACTTAATCCTCAGACTGAATGCTTTCTTTGATTAACTATAATTCGTTTTAAATTATTGCATTACTCATACATTGTTTTATTGCTCTGAATAAATAAGCTTTATTCTATTTGAATCTAACGTAGATTTTAGTTTGACTTTACTTCAGTCCTTGTTTTCTTATTCTTGGTTGGAGTTTGATCGTCCTTACAAACGTTTCAGACTCTGTCTCACGTTTCCTCTGTTCTTCCCTCCATCAGCCTCATTTGGTTCATGGTCTTCAATGTTTTCCTCATATTGACCTGATATTACCTCAAACTGCTTCTCAGCATCACCACATGCTAAATGCTAGTTCAGAGGTAAGAGTAACAAACTATCAAAATGCAGACTGCTGCTTTAGTCAATATATTTGTTATTTTAAGTAATTTTATGATTTTTTTTAATGAGCATGATAGAATAACTTTCTGATTTTTTTTTTACCTAAAAATGTGATAAAATCTTCCTCTAGCACCACAAGGAACCTCTACCAGTATTTCCCTCAGTGCATTACAAGCCTGGTGGGCCACCAGGCTTTACTTATGCCCCCACCAGGCTCGGCATTGCTTATTTATTTAACTCTTTTTAAAATGTTTGCATTTTTTCAGACTTTACAGTTGGTGTTAATCTTCCAATCTTTCAATAATAAATAATTATCAAGTGATATTTTCAAATTTCCTGTCAACTAAACATTTTTTAACTCAAAAACATGACGGACCGCTGGATGAATGACTGCTGAGCACACCAACCACCAGACTTAGCAAGTTTTCTGGAGGAAACCTTGCTCTATTACTAAACTAAATGGATCATCTGTAGAGTTCATGATGAGCACAACATTTTCTGTAGCGTCTACTTAGACTGGAGTGCATTTGGAGAAAAACAGAGGAGGAAGCACAGAGAAGGAAATGCTTCAGAGATGGGGAAACATTGAAGAGGAAACAATGAGGAGAGGAGGACATGTTGAGGAGGAAACACTTACTTTGCTGATAAGCTCTTCAGAAAGTAGCCCATGACCTTCAGGGCCTGGACTCTAATGCCTTCATTTTTGGAGGCCAGCAGCTTATAAATAACCCTGTGGGTACATTTCAAATTACATGTCAAATAAGTAATAACGAGCCAAGTCTCACACTAGCTTAAGTACATATCTGAAATACATACACCATATAATAACCACTAAAAAAAAAAAAAGTCTATAATAATCACCGGATTCCGTTTCTCTGGTCGAAGGCTTGGACCATGGTGCCGGGGTGTTCAGACATCAGAGCCACCAACAACTGCAGCACATCCATCAGGTTTTCATCCTGAGGAACAGAGAGGAATCAGGCTGAAGCTGAATCTATCTGCAGCTTTTTAAGATCAGCTGCCTGATCACTCACCGATACCTGCAATCACACCTGCAGTAGCAGCAAAACGTTCAATAACAGAGTTGATCCATTGAAGTTGCTTTTTGAACAGTATTTTATTCCTCCAGTACATCAAGCTGAGCATCTTTCTAATTTTTATTTTACTGTTTTGTAACCTAACGTGAAACAAATCCAGATATGATATGAAAACAAGCAGGTTTTAAATATTAAAATCGAGTAAGAGAGCCTGGAGTCGCAGTGAACGTCTGCTGCAGGCTGCGGCAGTGTCATGTCGCCATCTGGTGGTCAAGTCTTTGTCTGCTCACCTCGTGCATGGTAAGGAGGTAGTTGAGGATGCTCTGCAGCTCGTCTTCCTTCACTCCATGATCCTGAAACAAATCCACACCCGAGTTATACCCAACCTGCCTGCCCTCAGCAGGAAACTGTTTAATGGTGAATAAAAACAACTTTAATAGTTGTGTTTGTAAACTTTGTCCTAACTTTTTAGGACAGTTTCCAAGATATACAATTCTACACAACTACAACTACACAACTTTCACTAGAGAACCAGTATATGGGGTTTTCTCATTATGGGATCTCATACAAGGTCATTAGAAAACTTAAGAAAATTAATTCTTACTTTGTGAACCGATTATTAAAGAGGCGGTATTATGCGTTTTCCAGGTACATAGTTACATAGTACATAGTTTTTACAACACATTCAAGTAACTATGTTAAGTTCAGTTGTTAAAAAAATGCTATACAGATCAAATATGACTTAAAAAAAATTTGACTGTAATTTAACGAGTTGAAATTGGGTCTCTGCCTTCTTAAGAAAATCCTGCTCCTTCTAAAATTCCCTCTTTAGGAAATTATCCCAACATGGCTCCTCTATTAACTCTTTAACAACGCTTTTACCAGCGTTTCACTGAAAAGTAGCTCCTACTATGAGCTCAGCAGATGCTCAGTTCCACCAGGTGTTTGCTAATTGCTGCTGGCTAGTCTGAAGGAGCCGAGTGGAGGACTGTGAGGCAGAAGCTTGGAAGCTCAGCAAATGCAGCTCTGAGGAGGAACTGGCAAATCTAGCCAGGCGATTTGCTCAACTGAATGGTTACTATGGAGATTAAAGGATTTCTCAAAAATTCATAAAAATAATAAATAAATAAATAAATAAATAAATAAAAATCAAGGAAACTCCAGGTATGTTTTTCATGAAGCAACACCTTCAGAAAATGATGTAAAGCTGAAAAAAATCTAATTTATATGATTATATTATGCTGCCCCGTCAAAATGAGCTTACCTTCATAATGAGCTGCTTGATGAAGAGCAGCAGAAAGGCTCGCAGAGAGAGCATCTCCTTCTGATTGGGCCGCGGACCGTCTGAAAACACACACACACACCATCAACTGGGTCTGTTCCTCTGAATGCCTGTTTTTCACTGCGACAGGAAAATGTGTTGACATGCCAAAGCTCCTTAATGAGAATAAAAATAACCTGAAATATGTTCGTCTTAACAAATCTTAACATATTTATTTTGTCACCCCCAAGACATTTAGCCTCTCTGTGAATCAGCCTGGAGCCAATTGAGAAACTTCGGCATTAGTAGCAATAGTTCAATGAGTAAAATGACGAAAGAAATGTTCACTGCAATAATATGAGAAGCTGAGGTGATATGAAACTTTATTATTTCTGCTTATTGCTCCTAAATGAAATTCTACAAGCTGTTAGAGCGTTTTCTCCTGTTTTAACGATGACTGTCACATTAAAAGCAAATGCAGGAAAACAATGAAGAAGAAGAAAAGAACAGGAAGTGGTCTTACCGACGCCTTTGGGTACGACTCCGCTGCGGTCATGGGGGTTGACGACCCAATAGAAGTACTTCAAGGTGTGCATGACCTGCAGCACGGTGCCCACCCTGCGGACGGCGTTATAAATGGTCACCGTGCTGATGAACTCTGTCGCCAGGTAGGTGTAGAGCATCAGCTGCACCTGCACAGACCAAGAAACATGCATTTCATCATCAACTTTATTTATAAGGCACTTTAACGGCAGCCGCAGCTGAAACAAAGGGCTGAACATTGGTAAAAAAAAAAAAAATAAGATAAAAGAAAGCATAAAAATAAAGTGGCAAAGCTAAGCACACAATAATGAATGAAAAACTCAATTCAAAGCACAATAAAACTACGTAGATGAACAGATAAAATCAACACCAGTGAAGATTAAGTCAAATCAAGTCTCAGTTGGGTTGAAGGCCAGTGAGTAAAATTAATATTTCAGACAGAATTTAAAAACGGACAGTGTTTCAGCACACAGGCAGGGCTGATCTGTGAGGCGGACGCTCGAAAACTGCAGCTCAGAGGAGGAGCTGCGTCCTCGAAGGCGGGGCTAGACCCACCTAAGCATTTGAACAGCTGAATGGTTGCCATGGGAGATTAAAGAATTTCTCAAACATACATGAAAGAATCAAAGTAACACTCCACGTATGTTTTTAATGAGAGAATAAAATTATAACACGATGTCAAGCTCAAAAAAGTTTTACATAATAAGACATCTTTAAATAAATGATAATGAATACAACATAGGTTCTACTTTATGTTGGTCTAAAAAATAAAAGTCTGTCTGTGGATACAATGTGACAAAATGTGAAAAGATTTAAAGGGCAGGAAAAGTTTTTCAGATCAGTCTACAGTTATGATTTTCTAATTTCTCAATAATCCTTCTTTCAGGAGCTTCTACATGTTTCCCCTAAAGATGTTTTGGCCTTGTACTAAAAAAGATATGAAAAGTTATAAAAGAAGCTATGGAAATAAAGAAGAAAAACTTTAAGCTCTGAGCTCAACGCTCATTAGCTTGGTGTACTTTAGAGACTAGTCCATCTCCAGAGCTGACTCAGCTCTGTAAAAGCAGGAGCTGCAGAGTTTATGGGTGTGGTTGTGTTACCTTGGGCGGGGCGTGGATCCAGATGGCTGGGTTGAACAGAATGTGATCGCACAGCTGCTTGAGCAAGTAGATGCCGTTTTGCAGATTGCTGAGGTATCTGGAGAAGGTCAGGACAATGTCCAGGACGGGCCGCGTTACATGCGCCTTGGAGGACTGCAGCACAGAGATGGAGGAAAACATGGAAACTGGGCTTCAACTGCATCTTCTTACAAAGGTAAGGCTAAACGGGAAAACATCATCCGGACAGGGCCGGCCGTTTAGAGAGGTCACCTTCTCCAGCGTGTAGCCGATGACGAGGAAGCCCTTGCAGGCCAAAACCTGCTCCTGCATAGCCACGGAGTTCTTCAAGAGCTCCATCATGAAGGATAGCAGCGTGCAGCTACTCGCCAACACACAGACACAGAGACAGGACAGCAGGGAGACAGACAGCAGCTTAGATAGAGACAATAATCTGTGAGTTGCTGGGAAAGCTCACAGATTATTGTGAACTTTCCCACAAATATTATGGGACATGAAGGCAGGCTGGACTGGAGTGTGGTGAATACAGATCTCAGACCAACATTGACCGACATATTTGATGTGTATTGATGACTTTGGTGATGGCACTCATCAAAATATAATGTTTGATACAGTTTTTTTTTTTTTCAATTGTTGACTGTATGGTGCTTTTTATGACTTTGTATTTTGTGTTTTTATAATGTGAAGCATTTTGAACAGCCTAGTTGCTAAAATGTGCTACACAAATAAAGTTGATCTACTGACAGACTGGAGATGCACAGATCAGATATAAATATCTGAATCGGTCCAGATATGGAAAAAAAAATTCTAGTTCAGATATCAGTGCCCAATCCATAATTCTATGCAATGCTTTAATATTTTATTTTACATCATATCTAGAATTCCTAATTGCCTTTTCTGAACCATTTGAAAGAGCGTTTCTTACCTTTCATTGTTTACACATTTCACCAAGGTCACCAACCTTTTGATTTTGTCCCTTTCACTTTCAGATTCTTTATTATTTATTTCACATTGGCTGTTCCACTCCTAATTGCATTGACTGAATAAATTAAAGTTGTGTTGTTTTCACATGTTTGAAGCTGTACAGGTGCAGAGTTAGCAAATACATTTGTAATTCACTACATTTATGTCTGTGTGTAAAAAAAAATAAAATCTTTATTTTTAGTAAATTCAGCTCTGTTTTTCTGTATCGTGTCAGCCGACGATAAACCTCAGATATCGGTATCGGAAGTGAAAAAAATGGATTGGTGCATCCCTACTCTAGACCAAACTATAAAAACTGCGAGACAGATTCATTTCTCAGTCAGAAGGTTGTAGTAAAACCAGTTCTTTCTCTGAAGAGAGAATTTAATGACATGCAAAACTGAAGCAAACATCAACTAATTAACTCTGAACCTGCTCATAAAGCTGTTTCGCTGAGCAAACTGAGAGGAGACGCAGGTTGTGAGGTTTTTACCAGACAGATGTGTCGGGCTCCTGACTGCAGGGCTGCCAATAATCCAGCTGTGCAAACAGAGGGAAGAGGACCTGGACGCCACCGATGGAGTGGATGCCACTCTGCACTGAGTGAGTCACCACAGCCTTCACGTCCTACAACACACACATCATAGCATTACGAGACATTTTTTTTGCATTCATGTGAAAGTCATAAATTTCAATGCTGACAGCAGTAGTGTTGAGGTTAGAGTTGCATTTCATTACTCAAAAAAAAAAAAAAGTCGAAACAAATTCTGATCAACAAATCCTCCAGTTTCCCTTGATCAACTCCCACGAAAATATGAATTTTTTTCTCTAATATAACAAGCACCATAAAACTGAAGAGCCGGTGCATAATATTTTCCTTTTAGGGTCAACGTTTGGTACGTTTAACTGGACAAAACAATCTCTGAAATCAGACATCAAAGTAAACCGGAAATCGCAAGTGGCTGTTAAAACCTTGATCTCTGCATCTCCACTTTTAAGTTTATTATGAAGTATCACTACTATTGAGTAACATTTCTGGTTATTCTACCCACCATGAGTAACTTCACTGATTGAAAAACAAGTTTGTTTTAACCAAATAATCACCAGACACAGAGCTGCAGTTTTTAAAGCAAATATTGTGAGTTTATTATTGACAGAAACTGATTTGGAAACATTTCTTTTACCTAACCATGTCATTTTGTAATTATGATTTTTATATGAATTATTTTCATACTGGTATTTTTAAAAAAATTCCACAAAATATACATTTCCAGTTTATATATTGATGATGTGAATATTAAATGACTGATAGCTTGTTCAGTTACTCAGTCCTCCAGTCGCCCTTTAACAAAATACATTTTTACTCTTAGTTGAATAATTTGTTGGATGGCTACCTTTTACTTTTACTTTAGTAAAAATATGCTTGCATAGTGCTACTCTTACTTGTGTACAGTGCTTGGGTTCTCTACCCAGCTCTGTATGCAACCAGTCCATAACTAATCTGGATACTTAATATTTAAACATTTGTTATTGGCTAAAAATGAATTGTCGTCATTATGGTTGTCTATCCTGACAGAACTTGTGCTGAAAAAACGTTCCCCATCTCCACAAAACTGAATAAATGTGTCATAGATTCATTCCTATTTTACTCAGAGCATGTGTGTGTGCATACTGGGTGTGTGTGTGTGTTGAATGAAACCATATGAACAGGTTCTAACAGCTTCAATCCCAACAATGGGCCGTCTTGTGATTCCAACCCCAGCTGAACAGGGAGTGTTTGGTCACCTGCAGCATGAGAGCGTGTGGAGAGTGGACAAAGATGGAGGCGTTGTCCTTCGGGGAGGACTCCAGGCAGAGCTGGGCGTCTGTGGCACAGGGGTTGTAGGTGAAGGCGATGCTGGAGGCCAGCTTGCCGTCGTACAGCAGCGTCTTATGATGCTCCGCAAACAGCAGGTCGCTCTCCGCCCGGTGCTTGAATGTTCCCTGCATGACAGGGAAGAAGAAAAAAATTGATGGAAATGCGACGAATGAGGGGAGATTCGGTTCCAACGGGTTTTTTCCACGAGTCTCTTTCATCTCCTCATATTCAGTCGTATTCTGCAGTTATCAGTGCACGTATTGTGTGTGAGCGTGAACCTGGTAGCCGGGGCCCAGCTGATAGATGGCCAGGATCTGAGCGGCGCTGAGAGCTTCTGCAAACAGGTAAACGGCGCCCATCTGTCCACAGAAGACACGGTTCACGTCGGCCGTCTCAGACGATCCGAGGAAGCACTTGTCAAACGTCTGCGGGGGGAAACGAGCAGAGGGGAGGAGGGAGAAGGTAAAGGGTTAAACAAGCAGATCCCTGCTGACTGATCTGCCTCTGATCATCAGTGAACCAACAGCAGGAGGGCTGAGGTAATCAGGCCTGGCTCAACATGGAGCAGTTTGGGGTTTTTCATTGGGGTGTGCATACGACTGACATAACACTGTCATAAACATGACATGACACTTATGAACATGAAGGAGTCTTTATGAATGTTTATGACTGTTGTCATGAAGTGTCATTCGGTAAATAACGACAATTTTAATGCAAACTTGCATTAAAAGTGACTTAGTTCAAGTTAGTTATAGTTTCTCCCCATTAGTTAATGTTATTCATTTCAGTTAACAAAAATGTTTTCTCAATTTCAGTTTTCATTATTTCGTTACTTTTACTTCACTATAATTAGTGAAATATGATTATAGTGAAATTGCTTCATCGCTCCGTACTGTGGGGAAACTTAACCCTCTTAATTTGTGTTGATCAGTGAATAGGAAAGGGATGGAGGAGGAATTTTTTTTGTTGTTTAAATGATGAAACATAAAGAGCAGGTTTCCTCTTTGGTCCCTGAAAGCACAGAATGACTCAAATGTACCAGAGTAAAACAAATGCATCGTTTTTTAGTTTTATGAAACAAATCTGAACTCTTTAAGCTAAAACCCATCAAACTATGGAACCATCTGACTGTCCAAACATCAAACAATTCAAACTTCTTTATAAGGAAATAGTCCACACTAAATATGAGATATGATGTTGATATTTTATTCCGCTGTTCTTCTGACTTTATTAGTGTCAATATTATCATTATTGTTGTGGTTAAAGCCATTAGATTTACTTACGTCGCTGGTGTTGACGAACCAGGCGATGTCTCCATAGGAGGCCAGCTCTCCGTTCACAAAGCAGCTGATTTCACTGTTCTTCCACCGATTGTAGATGTGAACCAGAGTCACCATGTACCACTGCAGCAACGACAACATGTCACACCTCAGCACACATCAGCCGCTCTCACCCGACACATTCTGACCACAGCGGACGAGCAGACAGTTCTAGTTCATTAACCCATTTCCATCAGAACTCGTTCCCCTCAATTCCCCTCAAGGTATCGCCTCACCTACTTTACTTATTTCTCATCTTCTTGCAGTTGTTCAACCACTGAGGTAATGCCATGAACATTTTATAGCTATAGTCTGAATCAACTAAGGTTAGCTTTGTGGATTATCCTTATTTCTGCTTTTCCTCACACACGTTCTGCTCTACGGATGTCTGTGCAGGAGGGAGCAGCATTCATTCAAACATCAGTTCTGTTTCTTTTTATGTCTCTACTGGAGGTTTCTTCCTGTCAAAGGGGAGTTTTTCCTCCCCACTGTTGCTTCGTCTTTGATTGGTATGAGGGATTGTTGTAAAGACAACAACAAGGCAAGCAATTGTCGCCCCCTGCTGGTCCAGGAGGACTGAGTGCTGCAAGTCAATGACTCAATGCTCTGCTGGGTTTCCTAAGACAGAAACTTCATAAACTACTTTCAATAATTAATTGAGCTCAATTGCAATGTTTGATTGATAACTAGGATTGATTAGAATGTATGTGACATCGAAATGAAATGACTTTTTTTGTAAAGTGGATCAGGATGATATATTGTAAATGGGTGATAAAGAAAGAAAATGAATTGAATTGCAGGTTTCGTGCAATGTGGAAGCAGTCTGGTAATTCCATTCATTTCAGCTGGATAATCGGACAGGAAGTGAAGTCATACATTTTTCATGAAGTTCAACAGGATTTGTCAAAACAACTGTGGATGACAGATGGGCCTTTGATTTGTTTTATTTTTTTCATTCTTATTTCCAATGGTCTCAATTGTCAGTTTTATTAAATATGAACAATCTTTAGGTTCAGCTCCATAACTGTCCAGAATGTCTCAAATTGGTGCACCGTTGTCATGCAGATGGCAGACTGATCAGTGGGATTCCTCCCGTACCTTCTGTGGTTTGAAGTCGTACTTCACGCAGTGCTGGAAGCCTTTGCCATTTGACTTCAATGAGGTCACTATCAAACAGCCGGCCACAAAGTGTGCAGAGTAGCCCATGCCTTTGCTGGTGCGGAAGCTGCAACAAGATGAACAGGAAACACACGTAATGTTAGGCGGGACGCTCAGACACACCTGAGCAATAATCCTGCCGCCTAATCAGCACCTTGATGTGGCTCGCCTGTGAAGTGAGCCGCATCAGCTCTGCTAAGGAAAATTGCTCACTCACATTAGCTGCGTTTCCATTGCACAAATTGAAATTACAAAAACAGATTTAATGGAAATGTGACAAAAAAACAAAAAAAAAAACAACTCATGTTTACATCAGCCAGTTTGTAACTCAGCACTCCCTGGGCTGAAAAGCCCAGGGAGTGCTGTAGCAGAGGGAGTCAGCATCACCTACCAGTATAGATAAGGCTTGTCTTTATCCACGTTGATGTTGTTTAGAGGATCCATTCGGATCCACGTGTGGAATGTAAATCCATTCTGGTACGGCCATCTTGCAATGGGGGGTAGAGCTATAGCCTGGTGGAATCAAAATATCAATATATGTAAAAACAGCAGGAGACAAAAAAATTGGGTCAACATGATCAAATCCCTCTAGTTGTTATAGTCCAAGTATGGTCGCCACATCTACCTCAAAGCAAGAGCAGAAAAGAGTATCGGTGTTTGCTAACAGTGCAGGTCAGAAGTTTACATACGGTCAAGGTTAAAGTTGATGGTCTGGGAAAACAATTCTAGAAAATTCTCCAAAACCTGGATTAGTTTTCAGTTGTTTGCTTAAAGCTGCAGTATGTGGCTTTATAAAAAATATTGTTTTACATGTTTGTTGAAACCGTCACCATGTTATAACAATATGCGTCAGTCAGATGATCTGTAGGGGGAAAAAAAAGATCTAAAAATAGTCTCTCTCCCAGTGCTAACTAGAAACAACCAATCAGAGCCAGGAGGCGGGTCTTAGAGTTGTCGATCATTCCCTCTCTGCTATAGCTTCTCCCTGGTAGCAGAACCTGTCATGCATGCTAAGGCTAGTTGGCATTGCCACCGATGACAGTGGATAAACAATTTACTTTTAACAGTAAGTCGTTTCTCTGCCACACACTTAGCAGCCAGTACATTAGGTTGACAGACAGCGATAAGACTCTCCTCCTGGCTCTGATTGGCTGTTTTTGGTAGGGAGCGGTGAATTTTTTCAGACGGCGATAGCAGCACAGGGAGGGTGTGGCAGAGATCGATATTTTCACAGATTGTTTCATATTATATTATCCGTGTTTCATATTTTCATAACAACATGGTGATGGTTTTAACAAATATCTAAAAATATATTTTTGAAGTTACGTACTGCAGCTTTAAAGGACCAGCACAGGAAGTCCTCATGGCTCACTGCTGACCAAACTAACCAGAACCCACAACACAAGTTGGCCTTCTCTACTCAGAAACCAATTAGCAACGACTACAGAACCAAACGCTTTAAAGGCCAAACTAGATGGAGAATTGAGAAACTGGTTTCTACTTCCTTCCTGGTACAATACTTTTATTCATATTGAACAGTTCCACACAGATAAAACCTCATATCTGATAGACTTGATCTCTGTAAAAACATCTAAAACAGTTTTTCAGTCATTAGTCTAAAGCAGGTCAGACAAACATCGAGTTAGACGACAGATTTCAGAGTCTGAAAGATATGGTTTTAAATTCTTTAAACTAGGAGCCGTTTTCATAATTAAGCTCTGGAAAAGAACGAAGCAGGAAGCAACTCCAAGAGAGCAAAGCTCCACACTAATGGAAATGTTTAGGCAAGTAATATTCAGAACTGTTCAAACTCCACAGACGATCAGAGATGAGATGTGACTCATGAGGCCATCGTCAGACAGACTGTTTAGTAACCAACATTGCTACATAAAACCAGACTTTCAGAGCCACATCTTCAACAAACTTTACTTTCATGTAGGATAAAGCTTCTTAAGGTTCTCTGTGGTAATGCATCAATTAGAGAAAAATTGAAACTAACTGAAGAATCGAAATGAAACAGAGGGTTCATTCAGGTGGTGACATAGAAGAACCTCAAGTCCAACAATGAATAAAAACGTTAAATTTCTGCTATAGACCCTTTTCATCATCTGTGTGTGGAGCGTACTTACAGCTGCATTCTTCCCAGGGAAGCTGAAGAAGGAGTCTGGACCGTTCCTGTGAGCCATGTACTTCAGCACCGACAGAAGCTTCACGGCGTGACGAGGCTGAGGACAGAAACCGGCCTGTGAGTTACTATCACAGGAAAACTAGACACAACATAAGCACAGTCACATGGTTGTCCTGGAAACCAGTATGCGTAGCAACTGGGTTTGGTTTTGTGGATAAAAACACTGAGGTTTACATTCAACTAATTTTAATTATTGCCTTTAAACAGTAATATAAGCTTATATTTGCACCAGCAAAGTTGATAGAGGCAAATTAACTTTACTCAGCTCCTTCAGACTAGCCAGAAGCAATTAGCAAACACATGGCGGACCTGTGAGTCTGCTGAGCTCATTGTAGAAACTACTTCTCAGGGCAATGTTCCTAAAAATGGTTGGAAACGGCATCATGGAGGAGCATTGTTGTGATGACTTCCGGAAGGCAGAGTGTCAGAAAGAGCAGGTGCTCCTTAACGGGACACAGGCCCAATTTCAAGGCGTTAAACTAAGAAGTCAAATTTCTAAGTCACATTTGATACATACAACATTTTCATAACAGTTGAAGCTAACAGTTACCAAAATGTGTCAAGACATTACATAATTCTGAAATATTTTTCCAGAACAACTATCCAACCCAGTCTGCTTAAAGCTTTAGTACATATCTAAAAGAATATACCACTATATTAGTTATTATTCATTTCTAATTAGCTCCACAGTTTATTCTGACTAAAATAATATCAAAAATAAGATCCTAATTTGTTTTTTCTAAGGTAAATTATTTCCATAAAAAGTTAATAGTGTAGCATCACTACAGGCCACAAGGAAATAGAAGACAACGCCACAACTTTTGCATTTTAGTATAAATGTTCCTCTCAATAAGGCCCAAACATACGATCCAGACATGCATGCATTGCTGTTGTTAAAAAGTGGCTTTGAGCCTGCTGAAGATTAGAACTGATCAAATCAATAATCTGAACTCAGACTGGTATAAGTCAGAAACCCATTTAGATTGCAGTCATTTTGCTGAGTTTCTTTAAGATCCTGTAAGACTTTGCCTAAAAACAAAGCTACTGTACCTGCTCTGGTTTCCCAGCATAACTACAACAAAAGTATTGGTGTGGATGGATAATCTAACATAAATAAGGTGATAGATTTTATAGAACATCGTTTAATTCGAGCACATCATCACATTAGGACTCTGACTCACCCACTGGCCCTGCTCCCCTTGCAGCTTACTGAAGAAAAGCTTGAGCTCCTTTACTGTGATGCTGTAGCTGGCGAGCACACCCAACATGTCCACCAGCAAGTCTGCAAAACACACACACACACACACACACACACACACACACACACACACACACACACACAAGGCAGAGGATGGTGTTTACAGCTGGAAATGAACAGGGATTAGACCTGGCCTGATGAAAACACAGAAACTGATGAGACACAAACTGCTATTCAGGAGTTTTGGAATGAGTTTTATCTTAAATTAGTGCTATCAATTGATTAAAATAGAAACGTGAGTGGTTGATGGTTAGCTATGTTTTATTTCATTTCTCATCAGCCTTGCTTGATGTGACTCAGCCACTGGAGGACAGAGCTGCTCACACTGGACAGAGGTCACTGAGCACCAAACAAACTCCCTCCAGATCTGCAGATGTGCAAAATGTTGTTCTGACATTTGAGACAGACACTGTACACTGTAACTCAGTCAGCACTGCACTATCAATCAATACGTGCAGCACTGGAAGGTGACGTCATGAGGTCACAAACGGGGGTGAAAAATAAGTCGTGAAGTTTGCTAGAGAATTCCACAAATCTTACTCCGCTGACTCCTCAGTGGGAGGTTGTGTCTTTAGGTGCTTCAGGTGAAATATGCATCTCAGCTGCAGCACGCTTCTAGCAGAGGAGCTGGGGAATTATTGACGCGATAAACACTATTCAGACAGGGAAGTGCTTCCCTGCCCACAAAGAGCTGCCTTTAGAGTGGTGGACTTTAAACTCCAACCAGTCGGTCTGGTTCTGGATTTTACTGAGCCAGCGTTCATGTGAGTCACTGGTCAGCCTCCGCTAAGGTTCAGCTCAAGACTTTTACCGACACCGCATTCAACTAATTCACCCTACATCTAAAAACACGGACACTCTCTAGGCAACACGGTATAGTATGTCTACTGTTTGTGACAGGAGCATCACTAAGGTGCAGCAACACAAGCTGCTAAGCAAATCACTAACAGCAGTGTGTGGGTCGCAGTGCAGCTTAATGTGAAACCAAAACCTGTGAGCAGTCTTCACACAGAATGTCAATGATCAATGATCCTCTATGGAGGCCTCAGAGTTTTGTTTAGAGAACATTAATGAACAAACAGCGTCGTGAAGTCAAAGGCTGGAATGATTAATCGATTTCTGAAATAATCTTCAACTAATTTTGGAACCGATTAATTGTTGACCGGAGTATAGACAAGTTTAAAGTTATTGTTTACATCTGGAAATTTAGCGCATGTGCACAACGCTGGAGGGCAAAAAGATGATTCTTTGACTTGTCATTCATAACCGCGCTGCCAGTAGAGCTACTCTGTTAGCAAAATGAAACCTGGAGATGGAGGTATTACTAATTTAGTGCAGTATTCCACAGGAAAGAGAAAAATAATGCAGAAAAACCTTTGAAGAACGATTCAAAACCACTCACTTTTTTCTCGCTGTCAGCTGTTACACACAGACTCATTGCCATAGCAACTGACTGGCAGCGACACTAATTTATCAGGTTTTAACACCACAAAACTCAAACATTTCCCGCACAAAGAACAGAACATTAAAACCGTTTACAGTTTTATGTTTTGAAGTATATTTTGTGATTATTAATAAGTGACTGAACAGAGTGGATGTTAATTAGTTAATTCAAACACCTGCTCAACTGATGATCCATCAAATAGTTGGTGTGTGTGTGTGGGTCGCCTCATTTGTTTATTTTTTTTAATTTAACCGAAACGCACCAAATTCCACAGCACATCCACATGTTCAGGTTATCATAGTCAAGCTAGCATAACTGACATACTTCCCCCTCTCTTGCTATTTTTATTTTTTTTATTAAAACTTTTCCTGACTATTTAGTTGACATAGTGTTGATAATTAGTAGCAAAACAACCCGTCTCGTTTTCTTTTAATCACCCATACATTTAAGATTTAGCATGTTATGCTGACAACCTGACAGTTAAAACCAATGGAAGTCATCATCTCCTGTGTCATCAGTGAGATGGAGGGTGGGATCTTGCGTGTGACATCACACCGCAAAGTGTTTATACAGATTCAAAAGAGGCAATTTGCTGAAAGAATAACTCAACCAGAGTCATAATTACAAAACTATACAAAATGGTACACATTTTGAATTAAAAATATGAAAAAAGAAAAAAAAAAAAGCTTCCATGTAAATACATTCTGCCCAAAACTTATAAAAGCAGTTTTAGCTTCACCTGGTTTGGATTCTGTAAAAGAAAAAAAAAATCTATACAGCATCTTCTGCTATCCAGTTATTAATCGGTAAACCAAAAATAATCAGATCAGCAGTACACTGTATTGATGTGTATTGAGGTCAAGGCAAGCAGAAAGGCCTGAGCTTTTCACATATTGATGTTAAAAATGTGTTTCAACTGAGGACTCTATTTTAGCTCTATTTTAGGCAATACAATGTTTATTTTCTTAATCAAAAAGGAACTGTATTTTTTGTTCATTTGCATCTTAAAAAGGTTGAACAGATTCAATGATAATGTGCCAAAAAGTGAAAATGAAAATGTAGCAATAACAAATAAAAGGAGATTTTCCCCCATACCTGCAATCATGCTGTCAGTGGTGGAGATCCTGTGCAGCACCAGCTGGATGAGCTCCACCTCGGTGCATGCCTGCAGGTTCCGCACGCTTTTTTTGAGGATGGCGGTGAAGATGCTCCAGATCTCGGCCTGACACGTGGGCTCACACTTGTCCAGCAGCTCCACCATGCACACAATGCTCTCTGGCTCCTGGATGATGAAGTTCATTTCGAGGTCAAACTGACCGCCGACCAGCTGGAGACGGAAACACACACAGAAAAAATATTTAAACACACACTTGCCTGAGAGTCACTTGTCTGCTGATAAAACTGCTGATTAAACAGCTATGAGAGAGAGAAGAGGAAAAGTTACTTTTGTAAGACGGTGTCTGAATGGTACAGCATTCATAACACCACAAGCACAAATATTGTTCTTGAAAAGCCTCGTCATCTGAAATGAACTTCTTCAGGACACTTCTTACGTTAAAAAGACTATCACTAAATTACACACAGACTCATTGCCATAGGAACTGGCAGTGACACTAATGTATCAGGTTTTAACACCACAAAACTCACAAACATTTCCCGCACAAGGAACATAACATTCAAACCGTTTACAGTTTGAATGTAAACTCGATAAACTCGATAAACACCATCCTGCAGCACTATCCGGACAGAGAACTGCTTCCCTGGCCACAAATGAGCTGCCTTTAGAGTTGTGGACTTTAAACATCAGTAAATTCAGATGTTTGAATTTACTGTATTGAATTTACTTGTTGCTCCAACGTATGAATAAGACGCCGACGTCTCCCCTGATTGGCTGATAGATAATGAGAGTTAGCGCCATGGCTAAGTTATGAATATATCTTCTCATGTAACAGTTTATATCAGTCACTGCTATATATTACTTATGACATATCGCATGAACAACCGTATTCACATGTGATTTTAATTTTATTTCTTATTTAGTAGAAACACATCAGTTGTATTTTTTCCGATCCTTTGTCTATATTATCGGAATATAGACAAATACTTGCACACATTTGTAACGGAAACGCAGCTACAGAGACACGGGGTCAACAAGAAGCATCAAATGCAGCCGTCAAGCCCGACGTCAACAACCAGTGGGAGCAGAACTCGGCGCTCTGCTGTTCCTGCAGGAGGACCTGGGACGCTAACAGCGGCTGACGCAGCCTGTCAGACAGCGCTCAGGGCTGCAGCGGCGTGCACTCAGGTTATTCAAGAGGAAGCATGCAACTGCAGCAGAGATGTTAACCTTCCACTGACATCACGCATTGTTTTCCATATCATGTTTTTTAATAACGTGACATCAGAATAAAAAAGGAACATGTTTCATTTTCCAGATCAGCTGTTATCTTCCAGCTAACCCCGGGGCCCCCAGCTACGACACATGAACTATACAGGTAGCTGTATCAGGGCAGAGGGCCACAGTGATTTACTTATTGCAAAGAGCTGATGTTCTTTTGTGTCTGGAATGAAATGGATGAGCTATAAATGTCATCATCTTTCACGGCTTAATAGCCGCAGCGACATTTTTATTATCTGCCAATGCTAATAGAAAACGATAAGGGAAATAACAACGTTGATGTCAAATTAATAGGGTTAGAATGTGTTCAGAATCCACCCATGTGACAGCAGGAAGGTTTCATTTAATGCAGCCCAGCAGGATGACAGAGGAAGCTACTCCTGTTGCTGCAATTGGAAGATCTGGGAAGACAAACAGTTTATCTCTAGAAAATAACATCTTAATTTATTCATTTTTTTCTGATAAATATTCAGCTACATGGAATTCCTTTCTGCATATCGAATCCATTCCTGAACAACTGCAGCGCTCCTGTCACACAGTTATCTAAAGCCCAACCACATTTTCTCAAAATATGAACATATTTAAAAAGATAAGGGAAATTATCCTTTGAAATTTCTTCCATTGTCTTTTTAAATTTGTGTGCATGTATTCATTTTAGTCACGGCGGTCACAAATCATCCCCCAGCCGTTCTGAAGGGTCACCTTTGTCCATCATTAGCAGTGATGTTAGGGTGGAGCAACACCCTAACAGTCCAACACACTGAAGTGACATGGACTAGAAACATGAAACTGAATTCATTTCTAATAATATGTGCTGGCACAGAAACTGTGGCTTAGTGATATGGTTTAACAATAAAATCTTTTTTTTTTCCTTTTTTTTTTTTAGATCAGGTCTGATTTGAATTGTTTTTTTGATTTTTTTTTTAAAAAGAGAAATTACAAATGACAGAAAACATTTTCAAAAAGTAACTTTTATGTCAGTCATCCAAAAATTTGATTGATTAAATAGATTTAACACCCAGCCCCAACAGAAACCATTGACTAATTTCAGTTTTCATCTGCTGAACCAGGGGCCTGAGGCCTGCAGCTGTCTGCTAAATTGATTATAACTTGATCTGCACTGTCTATACTCGTTTTTTTGATGACGATTCTGTGTCCAACGCTTTGTGACTCATCCAGAAATGACAAACACTTGTATCAGTAAGTTGGTGGTGGACGGTCCCGGGTGCCATGCCCAGCCTCTGGGTGCCGTTTTACCAGAGTAGGTGATGTATGAGCCTGACGCAGCGCTCAAGTTGTTCATCCATCACGTTGGGCTGGCGGAGGAGCAACACACGGGGGGCTAATTGGCTGCTGACGCTGGAGTCGCACTGCAGTGGCAACCAGAGGAAGGGAAGCTGGGATGATGGGGATCATTTCAGACACATTCTGTCATTGCCTGAGAGCAGGAAGGAGTTCTGAGCTGAGGATGAACTGCACCATGACATTGGGACACACTCATGGCTTCTAGAGATGCACAGACATTGATATCTGTATTGGTCCTCATAATGAAAAAAATTTCAGATTGGGTATCAGTGACAATTTGCCCCATCCACACTAAATAGGTTAAATCTAGACATGTAATTCTATGATTTGCACTCTGAGCTACATTATGATTTATTATGCATTTTACATTACTTTCAGAATTACTTATTTCACTTTCTGAGCCACTTGAAAGAAGGTTTGTTGCAGTTTATTTTTACATTCAGCACATTTATGTTTTAAAAAGAGAAACATTGGAAGTCAATTTAGCTCCGTTTTCTGTAACGAATCGTATCAGCTGATACTAAAACTCAGATATCGTATCAGTAGTGAAAAAAAGTGGATCGGTGTATCCAGATTCACCACTGACACAAACATATCCGTCTCATTAATCTCACTTGTTTTGCCTGGGCTTGTCACCCACATTTGAATTCATTAAATGAAACTGAAAAACAACAAACAGTTAAGGCTTAGAGTCGTCTTTCCATAACATGTAGGGCTAATTTTTTATAATATGCAGATTGTTTTTTTTTTCCTAAAAAAGCATGTTATATATATATTTTAAATATTTATTCCTCGCTGAATAAATAAAAATTGTTTTTCCAAAATTATTAGCCATATTTA